GAAGGCTCTTACGGTGTTCTTCCTTAGTACGGCAGTATTGCAAAATGCGAGACGCTGTGTCCATTGATGCTAACTTTAAGGCCCTTTTATCAATGATTGGAGTCGAGAAATGCGTATCTCTGGTTGAAACTTTGCAAATTCCCGCTCCGTTAGCTTTTGAAAAAAGAACTGAGCAACAGTTTGCCTTGAGATTTGTTACGAATTCTCTTCAACAATTTAAGAACACTTACAGAAAATTTCAACGAGGTGCTTAGATTAGTTTTAATCCAAAGAAAACATGATCGGAGATTTTGAGACGTTTCTATGGATATAATGTACACGCATTTTTCGATTTCAGGCATTCATAGAATGTATCTGATATAAGAGGAGGCGGCTATGTTGTGGAAGGAAATCGTTGTCTTTAAATTACCTTCGTTGGGCTATGAAGGGTACTGATTTCTACGATGCGACGTGACGCAAACCAATTGTCTACCCATTTAAGAGGCGGAGGAAGGTGAAAGAAAGAAACAGAACGAATATATGAACAAAAAGAAAATTGTATCAAGAAGAAAAAGGTTGAAATGAAAAAAATGAAGAAAAAAAGTAAGAAAAAGAAGAGAATTAAAAAAATAAGAAAAATTGGAAACATGAAAAAGAAAAAATAGAAAGAGAGGGAGAAGGAGAGGAAGAGGAAGGAGAAGGAAAAGGAGAGAGACGAGAAGAAGAAGAATCGTGACAAAATTCCCTCCAAACTTGGCATATGTGAAGCCGAAATATAATTATGCACGTCACCATAAATCATAATTATATGATCCCGAAAAATTTACTCCTGGTATAGCCACACACCACGATTAATTATTCGTCCTCCTTTTATAGTAGGCGAGTAATGCTAGCGGTGTTATAAATTAAAAATTTGAATCTTTGGAGAGGTTTTAGCTCTGCTAATCAGCGCCACGGCTATGTTTTATTTCGAATTTTAGCATATTAATGAGATCATTTTAGAGAACTTGAAGTGTTAGTTCCATAATACGTCGACATGGAGACATGGTCGAAGAGATCCTCTGAGACTCTTAGCTACAATCAAAAACTATACAATTCAGAGTCTGTAAGTGTACAGTGTAGGATCCAGGACATCCACGGTTTGAGTTTTTGCGGCCCAGAAGAATGGTAGTACCTAGTATTGGAATAATTTTATCCTTACAAAGGTGCCTCAACATCTAAGGCCATTTGGACTTCATTTTGCAATAAGAAACCACTATTTCTGGCTCATTTGAAGAACATCATCTATGTCATTGGTTTCACTATGCAGATATGTGCTTTAATGGATGAGCCGAAATAATAATTCCTTAATGCAAAATGTGGTACACCGCTGAAAAAATTAACACGAGGGTGTTCACAAATACAGAGTAGAATAGGAAGAAGAAAAGAAGAGATGGAAGAATTTCTCTTTCGTCTTCTCTTTCCTCCTATATTTTCCTTTTATTCCTCTTTATCTATTTTTTCTCCTTACCTCATCCTATTCGGATCAGAAAAATCAGAGGCTGCCAGATTCAGCGAGACTCCATCAGAATATAAAATGAAAAAATTTAAAAGGGCGGAATATTGGATTCGAGTGAACTTTTAAAATATACGAAGCAACAAGTTTAGTGAGAAGCAATTAGTTGGCGTGTGTATGTCCACTAGGTGTTTTATATTCTAGGTGTGAGATATTTTTACGACCACCTAGTATGTATAATCGTTTATTTATTTCACACGCTTGAGCTGTGCTACGGAAGCCTCCGCTATTTCCGCAACAAGTTTTTATTGAGCCAAACACCTGAACGGTCCAAGATAAAAAATGAGATACTGTGTTTTTTTTAGTCAGCCAAACACCAAAAGGTCTACAAGGTTACGACAAAGGTACCAACTTTATAGCACAAAAATACAAGTTCAATATCAATTTGCCCAGTTTTTATCGATGCTCCAGCGTATTAAATCTGTTACCGGAGGATTTTTACTCCTTGAAAATCAGTTGTCGTATGGAACCGTTAGGCGTTTACTCACTCGCCATCTCAAATAAGGACTAAGTTTTCGCGTAAGTCAAAGTATTGATAACTGTCTTCTTGGAACTAAAAAAAAAAGTCGTCATCCTGGCTATAGATTTTTAAAACGTATTTTTTGTAAACAGCCATTGGCGGATCCAGCAAATTGGCAACATTGTTTTTTTCCATTTAAACCTACATTTATGTTAAATAATTTATTCTTGTCGGGGCACCAGGCCCCTCCAAAAATCGATACATAGCCTAACCTAATTCAATTATTTAACATAGGTTTAAATGGAGGAAATCGGGTGTTGCCAAAGTGCTGGAACCGCCTCTGTAAACAGCTAAAAGTATTAACTATCTTTTTTCGATTGCCCCCACGCATAACGCATGTTTAACTCATAAGCTGACACAACTGAAATAGACGGGGAGGTGCCACTAGATAATCTATATTTCCCGCGCAAAGAAAAGACTCAGCGAGAACATTCAAGCGTTGTCAAATTTCTTCCGACAAAAGATTTATTTTTGAGGAAAGCTATGCACATCTTTCCTCAACATTTTTCAGATATAAACAAGTTATGAGATAACTCTTCGAAAAATTCGAATTATTAATTTTACAATTTTTGTTTGTGGAAATTTTTATATTTTATTTGAGGAACTTAAATAGCAACGTCCATGAATTCTTAAGACGCTTTATATAGTAACGGCAGAATAACAAGGAAGTACGCGTTCCATTCAGAAATAATTTAAATGAGTTATATGCTCAACTCAGATGAAGACTGTGATGACCGCAAGTACCGCGGAGATCGATTGAATTCGCGCATATGGAGCTGCGATCGGTCGCTGCTGAACGCACTGTGTTTGACGCAGTGCGTGAAGTATTCATGCAGTCTTGTAGGCGCTATGCGTTTCACGCCGACGACTGCTGACCGCACTGTGTTTGACGCAATGCGTGAAGTATTCATGCAGTCTTGTAGGCGCTATGCGTTTCACGCCGACGACTGCTGACCGCACTGTGTTTGCCGCAATGCGTGAAGTATTCATGCAGTCTTGTAGGCGCTAATATGTGATACATGCTGACCGCCTCGCCGAGGAGGGCTTATCCTTTTCATCTCAAGTCCTCGCCATCATTGCCTCTGCGCCACGCCGCTCCAGGCCAAATTGCGTGTTTGGTTTCTCTTAACTCGAGTAATTAAAGGTGCTGCCCCTTGTATCACCGAAAGACGACAAAGTCAGAAATGACTTTACTCTCAGAAGATGAGAGGTTTCGTCGTCTTTTCTAGTTTGTAATTTTTTTCTGAAACCGCTTTTTTTTAAACCTTTGTTTAAAAGGATTGCAAAATTTTCCGCCCCCTACATTTGCCGCCGTGGGCTGCGGCCTCGCGGCCCATGTGGCCACCCCCTAAATCCGGTCCTGATGCCATTGGTTTCCTTATGTAAATATATGCATTTACGGGAGAGCCAGAGATAGTGGTTCCTTATTGCAAAATGTAATCCAAATGCCCCCAATTTAAAACGAGAAAATTCCTTATCGGGCTCGTGCCCAAGACATGGGCGCTATTCATGTGTTATTTTGGCGTTTCCCTCGCGAAAGAACGTAACTGCATTTCAGTGTTGCCAAATTTCCCGTTGCAAATTGCATTGTTACCAGAAGAATCTTGGGAATTTCGAACTGAATATTTTGTTGATTACTCTCCAGATCTCATGCAAAAATCAGGCACAATTTCGGACTAAAATTAGACACTTACATTCCTGTGAAAAATTGAATTGTTTGAGTCAATTTCGCAACCCTGGAATAGAGTTACGATCCTTACGTGCTGGAGACGGCGATGTGAATATCATCACATGTAATTCTCTTCAATATTCCTGAGGGTAAAAATTTTCGTTGAGACATTTTGGGGGTCTGGAAATGAACCATTATAGGCAGGATCGAATATCGAAAATGAAAGACCACAATTCAGGGTTTCTTCTTCCGTAGTTAGGTGAATCATGATTCCTCAGGAGCCTCGTGATCAAATTCTGAATTTTTCGTAGCAATTCGGGTTTTCCAATCAAATCTCTCTCCTATTATTTTGTAAATATAGAAGTGCTCACAGTGTGTGCGAAATGGGAGTACTCGATTCGCAGCGTTTCACTCAATTCTTTTAAAAGGGGTCGCCAACAGCGAATCAAATGTTAAACTTTAAAAGACTGAAAACTAAAATCAAAACTGAAAACGTGTGAGTGCAACAAATTGAAAATTGATTTTTTTTATTTATTATTCCACCTGTGTACACCGTGGCACTCAGAGTCACACGAGACATTTTGCGTAGAATTAGAGCACACATTTTTCTAAATTTTTTTATGTAAGTATTTTTCCCTTTGAACAAATAAATTATTTTCAAAATTTCATCGTTTTCCTCTCCAGAATCTCCTCCGAACTCGTCGATTTTAAGCCGGCACACCGAGGGTCAAATGGCGATTTGACCAGTTACACAGAGATTAGACCAGATACATCGCGGTTTCTCTACATTGCAGGATCGTCAAGATATTGAAGATTTCAAAATTCAAGCAATAAATGATCAACCATCATCAAGCGGACGAGAGAGTTACGCAAAGTATAGTAGTCAGACAGAGCATTGTAACATGCCGTTTGGAATGAAATATTTAAATAACGATAAGCATCTTAGGTATAATAAGATGAAGAATCATATTTACTTCTCAAATAAAATCTGGGTCGTAAATAAGATCGAAATGTAAAATACTCACATAGATTTATGAATTAGCATCATCAGGTGGTAGCTTTTGAGTGAGTCAACAAACTCTGGGAGTTTTTTCAAATAGAATTGAAATGAGCTATTTTTTGGACGGCTTTCATATGACTTTAAGCTCAGGGAAAAAACGTCCTGCCATACGAATCCTATACGTTTGATCCCTTCTCCACCATCTTATTCAAACGTTTATGTATTATTCAGATCATCTCCTTGACGTAAGCACTGTAACTCACCTATTTGATTTCAGGCGGTCAAGCGGTTCGAGTTGAGTCCAAATGGATATCATGATATACTGAACAGTTACCACACAGCTCAGAGCCCTAAAAACATCTCGGAGATTGCTTGTACCTGGATGAAGGCTAACAGAAACACTTGGAAAACATGGATACACTTAGATAATAAGAACGTGATTTACATTGGAGGCATATTTCCCCTCGGTAGCACAACGTACAATGGTAGGGGCATTTTTGTCGGTAAGTAGTATGCATCATAATAAATTAATATCACAATATACTGTTAGGTACACTGATATCGACATGAACGGAAGCATTGAGGGGCCGTGAAGAGAGGGATCCACCCCCTCCCCCCCCCCAAAAAAAAAGAAAAAAAATCTGAAAGAAAAAACTTGACTGAAAAACATTAATATTGAAGGTATACTTAAGTACGTAAAGGTTCGGCGCCCTCATGTTTTACATAGGCAACATACATATCAGCTGAGCACGTTTAATTGCATCCATGTATTATCACCAACGTATCGCTTTGACTCAAACGTGATGATGAAACTTAAGGCTTCGTTGGCCGTCAAATCCAATTTTTTAGAAGTGTAATAGGTGTGCAATATCTGCGCGTAATCGGAGAGGCAATCAATAAGTTTTTCGGTCAGTAACTCCTGACTGTTTTCCAGTAAAAATTCAGTCTGATAGCAGATAGCATTGTGGTATTTGTGTTTGCAAGTTGGAGATAATAAAAATAAGTGTCAACAATGTCTACTAGAAACTGAATCTGCCTCAAAAACTCTCACCCGTGTCACTTTTGTTGTAACGTTCACTCACGTATGCACTTTAAAATGAATCACCGATCAATTGACGTTTGGTGCTAGCACTGGGTGCAAAAAGAGGTTGGTAATAAGCATGGAGGCTTTTCTTCTTAATGTAATGAAAAATAAAAAAGGAAAATGTAAGTAATGGAGGAAAGCTAATTTAAAAGGGGATGGGTTATGTTTTTCCACCTTTAAAGCTCCTACCATTTTTTTAAAGGGCCTCATAGCGCAAACGAGCAGAACTTGTGCATGCTCTTTGAATGAATCACAGATCAATGGATGTTTGACGTAAGTAGCACAAAAGAAGAGCTAATGAGCAATGGTGGCTTTTTTTCTCAGTAAAAGAAATTAATCATTAGAAATACCATAACCGCTGAAAGAAATAGAATTTACGTAGAGGAAAGGTCTGTTTCGATTATCTCGCCATAGAACCCTCGCCCCTTATTCCTGCGACTTTTACTCACGCATGCTCTAATAACGGATCACGGATTAATTAATGTCATAAACCATAATTGCAAGAGTAGGAACTGTAGAGCAAGTTTGACCTTTCCTTTTAGTTTAATTGACGAAAAAAATGAGTTTGTAATAATAATAATGTAAGCAGTGGCTGCGGGGGAGGTGCCTCCCCTCCAGCTTTTACTGCTCCCCCTCCCCCCGGTATCGTCTCTGATCTTCGCTTTAAAAGTTCCAACTCGTGCCACTCCTGTTGTATAAAAAGTACTGATTTTAGAGAAGGCTGCAAGTACACTTGCAGTCTTTTCCCCTCCCTGGTTAATATTCTCGGAATTCTCGGTTAATATTTATCGTTTTCTTGTTAAAAACACCAAATTTTTTTCAGTCTAAGGAAGTAGCAGATCAGGGGCTGTAGGAGTTTGACCATATTTAATAAATAACCTCCCAAAAAACTGGTTTAAATGCACGCGTAAATTTTTCGTGTTCTCCTAATGAAGCAGTATATATACGACAAAAATTGCGGCTGAATTTAACTTAAAAACTTTTGAAAGAGTACGAGCTACTAACTTTAGTTTAGTGGCATAAGTTCAAGTAAAAAATCTTGCACATTCTAGAGAAACATATTCTTCCTGATCCATGTCTAAATTTGTTCGTATAGCGATGCTGATGAAAGCCATCTGACAACACTTGAGAGGAGAGGGGGTAGTTCAAAAGGCACCATCCAAAAATAGATAGATGGTGGTCGATATTTTATATTGATTTAAACTCAAGATCCCGAGGGAAAAAGAAATAACACTAATTGACCCTTACTCGTTTATCTAGTATTTCATTACGGAAAAGGAAAATCAACAAGATTTTCCAGTTTTTAATGACGGGAGTGGCAGAAAGTACACAATTTGCATCTCACTTTGAAAGCCTTTAGCAATTATTGATGCGTGCGCTGTTATCGTAAGTCGTTGAGAGCTCAATTCCGTCAAATGGGATGTTCATGGTCATTTCTCTTGATGGCAGTCACTTTCATGAATTGAATTTTGCCCTATAATTACTGTCCTCTTTATCGCACCTGGAAATTGACGCATTCATAGCCAGGTTCTATTGATCAACGGCAGCATGATAGTGAGTATAGCTTACATAGCTGTGCGTCATTTCCCAGATGAAAGAACTTATCTGCATTTCAATAGAATTTTCACTGATGAATTGTAATACTCTAGTAACCGTTGAGCGTTTCTAGCTGAAAATTTTACTGATTTTTAGCGGCTCTGGTGCTTGCACTAGAGCTGCTATTCCGGACGGTCCCAGCTGGGGAGTATCAACGGACCATGTTACATTGGAGAGACCGCGTGTTGGTTGATGGGAATCGGCGCCATTTTCTGCTGTTTAGGGGGGACTGATTTTATTTTAATTGATATCTTTTTCCTGTGAGCGAATGCTATGTTGTGTAGTGTATTTTTGGAATCATGGTGATACTGTCAATAATTCAAAACGGGTCTGTGCTTTAATCTCGCACTGGAAAAAATTTACTTTACGTTTAAAATTTGAAAATTCAAATCTATAAGTTTTCGCGCTTTTTTCAAAGAATGCCGTGGTTGGAGCTTCCTAGTCATACTACTCGACATCAGCTGGTAGCAAACAAAGGTTACTAAGGAAACCGTAAACGCGTAACAACTACCTACCGTCGCCAGAGCCGCTTTCCGACGCGAATGCGTTGGAGCTTCCTGCTTGTTTTTCATGACATGCGCGCAAAATTTTGGACAGAAACTGTGCTCTCGCACCATTCTCGTATCGATGGTGAAACTACCAGACCACGTGTCTCGGTTTGCGACGTTCCAGACTTCCTGTCATACTACATTTTTTGAATGGAAAAATACTCAACGTCAATTCTTGAAAACTTCCGCTCCAACTTTTCCTCTCTGCGCGAAGAATTTTCTGTGAAAACTTCAAAGAATGATATTGATTTGTTTTCCTTCAAAAAACTAAAAGAGGATCGGAGATTTTCAAACACCGCAAACGAGATACATGGTCTGGTAGTTTCACAGTCGATATTACATTTTCCTCTTTATGGTCATTGCTCATTGAAATTTAAGCGTGATTTTTCAGGGCTTTCTCTGAAGTGTGACGTGTCAAAAAATTTCCAACATTTGTGTCACCAGGCACGGTGATAACATGACCGTAAAGCTATTGTTCCCTCTCGCTTTTCTTTGGTTTCTTTAACCATTCGACCGTATACCGTATCAACTGAACCATAATCTAGCTCGTTCACATTGTCAAACCTCGTTTACATTGATTAAAATTTTCAAACCTGCCCCAATTTTCCACTTTTCCCCTAATTTCCAACATTTTTTTAGCGTTCCCAATTTCCAAACATTATGCTTTCGATGTAAATCGGACGAGCATCAGTTGGGTATGATTACACCAATGTTGAAAAGTTGTGAACACAACCAGCTAAGGAATGACTCGTTGAATAGCCTAACATCAAATTTAATTTTATGCTATGTGAGAAAGAGTCTAGCTCTCCGCGATGAGCTCACGCAAGCACAGACATTAGAGACTTTAATGACGTTATATTTTGAAACGAAGTCATGTGCTAATCTTGTCGATGAGCTACCGATGAGGTCGGTAGGTAATTACCAAACTTGTTTTGATTTTAAATAAAGTAAATACAAGTACGAGTCTATTCTACAGTATGACATCATATCAAAATTGATCATACATTTTTAGGTGATGTTTCGGTCAATAGGAAAAGAGTAAATTTTGCGGTTCGTTATTGGATTACGAAAACACAGGAAGTACGATTAAAAATTAAAAAAAAAAAAAAAAAAAAAAAAAAAAAAAAAGAACACCGGGCATATACGAAGAAATCGTTTGAATTTCATAGTATAATTGGACATATTTCTGCCAAAGGGAACTATGTGCATTAAAACATGAGCCCTGAGACCCATAAGAATACAGGTAAGCATACCAGAGCTCACGTCATTATTTCGTCATCATAATTTTCGCTAATTTTATATCCATTTTTTTTTTCAATACAATTTTTTCAGCGGCAGATATGACGAAAAAACGCCGGGCGGACGCAAGAAAATTATATGAGCTTTAAAATTTAATTTTAGCTAATTTTATACTCATTTTCTCTACACTATTTTTTCAGCGGCAGATATGGCACGGGCAGCCATCAATCGGAATGAGTCTTTGCTTCATGGTTACGAGCTGCGAGTATCCATCCAAGACGGAAAGTGTGAAACCGATAATGTGATGCGGGCCTTCATCGAATACATGCGTTATGAAACATACAATCGCCTTATTGGGATACTCGGTTAGTCCATCGATATGAATATTTAATAAAATTGATTGTACATCTTCACACTTTCACCACTCCGTACCCTCTCCGCACAAGGGGGAACAGGAACACACGTCAGATAATGAATCGCGATGATGTTGGCTATGTCTATGTGTTGACTCGAATGGCTTATCCACATCGTAGACGGGAGTTCGGCTTATCGACGGTGAAACTAGAAAAACATGTGTCTTGGTTTGCGACATTGTAAATATACTAGCATATTAAATTTTTTCTGCAAAACACGACTAATCATTGCCATTGCAAGGTATTTTATGTGACTTTCTTTTTTTTCGTGGCCTCTATTCATACTACATTTTGTATTTAGTAACTCTCATTTTTTTAGCTTATAAATAAAAGTTCCTATCTGCAAAGACAGTCTAATGTATGGTATATCCATGTTGTTTCTAAAAAATTGTTATATCCACCGTAAAATTAGTAACATCGTAATACAATTACAAAAGGAGATGACACCTGGGATTTACTTTGAGCATAGTATGAATAGCATTTTTTGCCGTATAAACTTTACACCCCCCCCCCCAAAAAAAAAAGCAAAAGGGATCTATGCATGTACATTATGAATTTTGAGGAAAAAGTGCGTGTCTATTGTGGCATCATATATAGACTTCAAGTTGTGTACCTACATGAGACGTGGAGTTTCTGAGAGTATGGGAAATAGAACTAGAATTTTTTTTATTTATTTTTTATTCATCCACCTCCTCCTCTTCAAGTAATTTAACCCGCCAGTCATCAAGATTTGCCTATTTTTTCTCCCTTTTTTTCTGGCGTATTTACATGATCAAACTCAGCTAAAGAAAAAAAAAGAGGAAAACACTTATTAAATCAACTCGTTTGGCGAAAAGTCGCATCGGAGCAGAAATCCGGTCATTTACCCGTGCGAGGAGTATCCGCGCCCTTGCAGCACTCAATTCAAAGCGTATTTTTTTAGCACAGAAGGAAAATTGCCGACACTCCGCGTACCGGTCAGAATTTTCACCAAGGAAAATGAGCTCAGCTGAACAGTATAACGAAGGAGAGATAAAGAAAAATAGGAGCAAAATTCACTTAAGTGATCACATTCCAAGTCAGTCGGATTTGTCCATCAAAACAGCCATTTTCATGGCTGTTGTTGGTGTTGCTTTTGATCCCTTTATGGCAAATAGTGGCTCCGTCAAGGCTGAAGAAATGGTCGGAAAAAACGTACAGGGCATCAGAAACTATGCTTCTCGCTAAGTGGCAAAAAACATGGCAGAAAGGATCAAGAGACGAAATTAAAAATTCTTCAGTATTGAGGTTTGAGTGAATTCTTATTCTGACCATCGCGCATATACGGTGAGTTTGGTCCATTTGGTTTTCCCCGAAAATTTGAATTAATTTTCATGCTAGTCCGAGAAAAAATTTGAAGACTGATTCTCGTTTCCTTGGTTATTTGCCTAGGGGTCGTGTTATATGAAGAATGTTGTCTTCCTTCAAATTTCGTTCGACTTCAACTTCATATTTTTGAATAAATTCATGTTATATATTTTGAGAGATATCAGCTTCCCGTGTCCCCCGTCCCCTTTTCAATTCTCAGGACAAATCTAATCATCAACGAAAGGACGCTTATACTGCCGCGTGCGAAGGAAGAACACCGGATGAGCCATCATATGTTGCCATATTTCCTTCAAAGAAAACGAATTTACTGAAACAATTGCGAATATTTTTCCTCAAATTTTTCAGTCAATTTTGTTCACGATTTAATCTAAAATATCTAAAAATTTCAGGAAAAATATGCATAACTTTCCTCAAAAATAAATGTTTTATTCGGGGAAATTTGGCACCTCTCGAATGTTCATACGGCGTTTTTCCTTAGCACGGCAGTAATAATCATTATCGTAATACTCCTAGTATTATTCGCGTATTTATTATATCCGTTCAGAATGATTTGGATAAGTTTTCGAGATATGCATTCTCTTTACGATGCTTTCACAACCTCCATTACGTTTTGCGCTCCGTATTTACATCCCCGCAAATTTAAAATTGGCGGGCGTTTATGGCGGGAGTTTTTGGCGGGAGGAAATGACCGGAAATGACTGAAATCACCGGAAACGGATACGGCTACAGCAATTAAATAAACGGAAGTACGCTTAATCCGTATCGTAATATCAGTATTCGCGTATTTATTACATCTGTGTAGCTCGATCTATCTTATTAGATAAAGTTTACGAGATAAACATGCTTTCTATGCCGCTTCCACAACCTCCATTACATTTTGCGCTCCGTAGTTACATGCCTGCAAATTTAAAATTGGCGGGCGTTTATGGCGGGAGTTTTTGGCGGGAGTTTTTGGCGGGAGGAAATGACCGGAAACCGCTGAAATCACCGGAACCGGATACGGGAACAAGTAAATAAACAACCTAACCTCAATCATTTTGCATTGCTTGCATTGTAGGAACCGAGTTTACTCAGTTTACTTTGCATTTTATATTCTCACGAAAAACAAAAAACATTCGAAATCAAAATGTGTGTACGGATAAGCGTAGTAATATTATATTTAACTGTGAGTACAACATCTCATACCTAATTTTATTTTATGAAGAAATGGCGACTGAAACTTCAGATTCTTGATAGTTGTATGCATAGCACATACTACTCATCATTATTATCGGCAGAATAAGTAATTACTAAATTAGATTCTCTCATTTTTAGGTCCTGCTTGTTCAGAGACCCTGGAACCATTGGCTGGTGTTGCTGTCCACTACCGAACTGTCGTTGTCAGTTACAGTGCCGAAGGTGCCAGTTTTGCCAGCCGTGAAAAATCTCCGTACTTCTTCCGAACTGTAGGAGAGAACAAGCAGTTCAAGTAAGTGCATTTTCAATACATTGACGCAGCTCTCAGTTGCTTTTCAAACCCTTCTATTCATACTGATATTTCTGTCAATTTTTAGTCTACAGTTTGTGAAGTGTATAGTATTGTCGCTATACAGTTTGCTTTCTTGATCTTGATGGATGGTAAATTTTAATGTAGTCATAAAAATTTGCTTATTACATATGAAAAGCTCCGGTCAGATAGGGCATGTCTTGGCCACATTGTCTTGGAGTCACTGCTGTTGGCTCTTCCAATATGATCAAAGCAACTCTAGGTATGTAATTCATTCAGAGCAGCTTTTGAGAGCTCTCAGAGATTATACTCACAATGTTTCATGGCTCAGTACATTTTCCATTTCTCATTATTTTCCCTCTTCTTACAGGTATGTTTATTTACAACTGTTCAATGCCTTAGAGTGGAAAAAAGTTGCTGCTCTCACGGAGGATGGTCAGAAATATACAGAGTACATTTCCAATTTGCAAGATCTGTTGCAGAATCATGGGATTAACTTTGTTGCAAATCGTAAATTTCCCCCAGACAGAGAACCTGATGCCATGAGTCAGGTCAGTATTTCTTCAGTCATCATAATTATTTTTGACATTTTATCCAAAAGCCCCCACCCACTAGCTCAGAAATTTTCTTTGGAGCTGAGAGAAATTGGCTCAGTGGTCTGTTGGCATTCTGATTTCTTTTCTCAATCTACAATATTTACAGGCAGTATTTGCAAGTATTGCTCTCTGAAAGTGTCTATAAGCCTTGCAATTGAAGTAATTCCTTACCTCAGGTATCGCCATAATTCTGTCCTAGCCAAAGTTGCCTAAAAGTGCCTTAATTTTACATCTATACAATTTTACGCAATAGGAAACGATATTTTATGAAAATGCAGCTTGAACAAATATTACAATTTCAATTTAAATTGTTCTAGATTTCTTTCTTTCACTTAGGTCCAGCTGTTTTTATCCGCAAGAAGGAAGCCTATAACTGTGAATTATTACCCGATGGTGCTCCGGAAAAATGTTTAAGAAGCAGAAGAAGGAAAGAAAAAAATAAATACTCTTTCCCACAAGCATTTATACAAAAGCCATTCAGAATTTTTGTATTTTTATTTTCTAATTTCTGAAGACACTGTGGCTCCTTTCAAATGGATCTATGGTCCACCAGCAAATCAAGGCTGTTCTTGAAATTACATATCGACAGTGAAACTACCAAGCAACGTATCTCAGTTTAAGACATTGTAAACTTCCTATCATGCTTCATTTTTTAAATAGAAAACTACTCAATGTCAATTCAATTTTTTCCTTATGAGTTATTGATGAATAGTATATCTAATTTTCTATGATTTTTTTTCAGTATTTGCTAGATTTGAAGAGTAAATCTGCAAGAATTATCATTGCAGACGTAAATGAAAAAGCCGCCAGGGAAGTTATGTGTACTGCATATCGTTTACGCATGACTGCAAAAGAAGGTTATGTCTGGTTTTTACCCCCATGGCATGGAAAATCATGGTACGACACAGATCATTACAACCAAGCTCATGAGAATGTTACTTGCACTACAGATCAAATGACAGACGTAAGTGATTTTATGTTTAAGATACAATCTACTCGAACTTTGAAATATCAACAACTGTTGAGTTAATAATATGTATATATTTGCATTCTAAAGCCAGTTAAAGAAAAAAATAAAAATAGAGCTCAAAAAGCTTTTTAGTATCATAGGAAGTAAAACAAGCAGTTCCAACGCCAAAGCGTTGAAGGGCGCTTCTTTAACACTGCGCATGCGAGGAACGTTTTCATACGGCCAAGCGAGAGTATTGCGGACGGACGATGTATAACAAATTGCCTACGTGAAGGTGGTCCGGCAGCAACATACCCGCCGCTAGTCTCTGGAAAACAATAGAAAATAGTAGTTGCGTACGTTGCCAGCGAGCGCATCTGTTTCAATTACCTAGCATCGAGTCGGGCCTCTAACTTTCTATTCTCTCTGACATAACCTTAAACCTTCAACCCAGAGCCGCAAACAGCTGACGCTTGACGATGCTGCGCCGAGAAAATGAACCAATCACAAAATAGCACAGTAATACGTCACTAAAATAAAGAGATCACATGACTGTTCGTGATTTTTTCGAATCAATCTGAAACTACAACCTCGAATATGAGGCATTTAAGCATAACGAAGCCCCAAAATAGTTTAACCAGGTAATACGTCCGTGCGAGATTGTTATGCTTAAAAGCAAAACATTTCACGAAAACTTTTACGAATACCAGATGCAGAAGAAAATCAAATTTTCCCGGGTGTACCAGAATGGCGTCATTACCCATAAGGCAAAACGGTATGTAGTATAGTACATGTTACATCGGGGGAGTCGAACGGCTGGAAAGGGCGCATCTGGTACCCAGAAGCGCCCAAAATGGTAACTAATAGTGTTTTGTAGTGCGTCAAATTTCAATAGAATGTGATTCCAAGTGAAAACACGTCTTTAACTTTGTGAATTATACATAGTATTTGTGAAGACCCGTTACTGTATTGATAATTACAACCTTCAACCATCCATATTTTATTAGAAAGCTTTTAAATCAATTTTACACTTATCTGAACATGAATAGAGAATATATCGAAAAGTATCTGGAAGAGACCTTTATTCTCAGCAAGCTAAAAAAGGAAACCATTTGAGCATTTTCTTGCTTCATTTCAGGCAATAAATGGATACTTCTCTCTAACAACGCAGTTTTTTGGCCCACCTGAGCAAATGATGCAGGAAAATAAAACCATCGCTCAATGGCAAAAGGAGTACAAGGCTGAAGTGGCGCGGAGAAAATTTCAGGAATCCAACTACGCTGGATTTGCTTATGATGCGGTGTGGATGTATGCCTTGGCTATGAACAAACTCATTAAAAAAGATCATTTTCTGTTTGCTAATTTTCATTCAAATGCAACAACCACGTAAGTTTGTGTTAATTTTTGATTATCCAAAATCAGACTATGTTTCTTCTTTACCTTCTCTAGAAAAATATCTGGAAATCTCTGTGCACATGAAACAGCTGCAAAAAGTTGAATTTAGGGAGCATGTCAGCAGAGTTTGCTGGTAAAAATATCAAGCTTTTCTGCCTTGGGAACCTATTTTCGAGGTAGTACATACAAATATTTTCATTAGATTTATCAAAGCTTTGGCTACCAATGAGTTTGTTTGCACTTCTTTTTCTTCTTTGAGTAAGGCTCCTTGCTGTAGGCGTTTTTCATTCAACTCAGCATGTTCTTACACGATAAACTTCCAAGTTTGTCGGCCTAGGCTTCTTTGTCTCTTGAAAACCTATGATTCATGCGGTTTTTGCGGTAACTTTTTGCTAACTTTTGGATGCTTTATGTTTCTTTCATATTTTTGAAGTCTAATAGCAAATTATGAATAATTTTCCAGGAAGTTTGTGAAGTTAATGAGTGAAACTGATTTCTATGGAGTTTCTGGTCATATCTCTTTCAAAGCTGGCAGATCGAGACCTTCAGTCGTAAACGTTATGCAGTGGATAAATAACAAAACTGTTTTGCTGGGAACCTACCATCCGAACGCCTCTGATTCCATGACCTCCTCTTCGCAAGGATTGTAGGTTTCATTTTTTAATCATTTTCATTTTAGTAAAGAAAATTAGTCTCATTTAGAAGTGAAGAGCAGTATCCTCATTCCGTCTTGTCAATGAGACTCATTGTTAAGACTGTTAAGCTGCAAGGGTTTTTTTTTTTTTTTTTTTTTTATCATGGTTAATTAATGATCCTTTTTATGGATGATGGCAACTGAGAGGAAAATTAATTTTAAAGTGCCATAAATTAGAGAAGTGATTTGAATCGCAAGCTTGTTGGGTGTGGAAACTTGATGTTCAGACAAATCTTATTATTTTTTACCGATCAATAATCTAAAATCATCAAAACACAATTTTGTGACTATCGCAACTGAGCTATTCGTCAATGAAAGTTATACATAACCTAATTTTTTCATTGCTTCATCAGTCCTAATTTTATTTTTTAATTTTTTAGCCTCCGGATGAATATTTCTCAGATTGTGTGGTTAACCTCTGATGGGAAGAAGCCCGATGATGGAACTGTGATAGAGTATTGTATTTTTAGGGGCGTTGCTGATATGCTTGATATTGATTGTGGAACTGCCATTATCATCGTTAATATCATCGGTTTTGGGCTCTCAACAGTCATTCTTTTAGCTTTATTTCTAACTATAAGACACAGGTGAGTGATGATGGTATGTTTGCCTTTATTTGTTTTTTTTTTTTTTCATTTTCTAAGTATTAGTCTGAAAAATACCATCAGAAGCTAATAAATGTTTATTATTTGAATGTTCAGATCATCGTAGATTTTCTTCATAATTCGGTGGTTTTCAAGGTATTTTGTTCTCCATTTAACATTCACTATTAAATAAGGCAGAAATGAAAATTCCATGAACAACTATTCTCATTAAACTCACATTCTCAATCGTATTATGTGTTCAAAGTCTGCAGAATTAGATTTTAGATGATGTAAACTTATCTGTTCAAAAAGTTTGATGAAATGCATTCTGTTCTGTTGCAGTTAAAATTAAATAATGGCAAAATCATTAGGTAAAGGTGTCACAATGTGTATGATAAGTGTCCATAATCGACCGTCAGAAATCTTCATTTTGACAGTAATCGCTGACCACATTATTTTTCCCTCAGTTTTTATCCTTTTAAATCAATTTTTTCTCAATGAATTGCACGCTTACTCGTAATTATATTTCATTCTAATTAAATTTTTAGGTATGCCAAAAAAATGGAGTTGGCCCAGAAGTACATGAGAACTTTGGGAATCGACTTACTCTCACCGTCAGTTCTGAGTGACCTTGATAAATGGGAAATACCGAGAGAACATGTTGTTATCAATCGGAAGCTAGGAGAAGGAGCCTTTGGAACTGTTTATGGAGGAGAGGCTTTATTTGGCTCTGACTGGGTAAATTTTTTCATTTGTTTTCTATCATTTTAATTTATTTCTGTTGAACCTCTGTGTCATATTGTGGTATGCTGTTGGAAAATTCAGGGGTGGAGGAGAATTGTCAGGAAAATTGTTAAAAAATGTTAAAATGTTAAAGTTTTCTAAAGAGATGTACATCTGTCATTGTTTCAAAGGACTACGTGCAAAACGGGCCATTTGGGGCTCGGGGCGGATACCTTTGAGACTTGCCCTATTCATTCACCTAACAATGCCCAATCTTTTCCCAAAGTTTCAAGCCCCCCAAAAATTTTGGGGAGACGCGGCGGGGGGTCAAAGTTAAAAAACCGGCAAAATTTTCGGGAATTTATTACTCAAAAACCAAGAAGTTTTGGAAGACGCGGTTTAAATGAGCGTATTCAGCGTGACGAGAGCTTTTAGAAAATGTATAACATCATAGGGTTTTGTCAACTTCAGCTCGAGTTATCGCCTCCGAAGCGCCGGAACGCTCAGAAAAGACCCCTTATTTTTTCACGTTTGGGCCAATTAAAAAAAAAGCCATTTTTTTATTTTGATGAAAAACTGATATGTTGTTCCTGACTCTCTGTATCCCCTCTAGCTCTTTACCGCATGCTGGGGAAATGTTTTGGTCGCAAGTTATAAGAGCGGAAAGGAGCGAATGTCGGGAAAATCGGCTATTTTAAACTGCGCGCGGCGACGGATCAAAAGACATGGGGCAACAATGCGAGGTCGGCAGAGGAGTATGATTCGGCGAACTGAGTGGGAGGGGACGTTTTCCCTCCGATCAACGCCGCGCGGGCAGTTTAAAATAGCCGATTTTCCCCACATTCGCTCCTTTCCGCTCTTATAACTCGCTACCAAAACATTTCCCCAGCATGCGGTAAAGAGTTAGAGGGGATACAGAGAGTCAGGAACAACATATCAGTTTTTCATCAAAATAAAAAAATGACTTTTTTTTTAATTGGCCCAAACGTGAAAAAATAAGGGGTCTTTTCTGAGCGTTCCGGCGCTTCGGAGGCGATAACTCGAGCTGAAGTTGACAAAACCCTATGATGTTATACATTTTCTGAAAGCTCTCGTCACGCTGAATACGCTCATTTAAACCGCGATTTCCAAAACTTCTTGGTTTTTGAGTAATAAATTCCCGAAAATTTTGCCGGTTTTTAACTTTGACCCCCCGCCGCGTCTCCCCAAAATTTTTGGGGGGCTTGAAACTTTGGGAAAAGATTGGGCATTGTTAGGTGAATGAATAGGGCAAGTCTCAAAGGTATCCGCCCCGAGCCCCAAATGGCCCGTTTTGCACGTAGTCCTTTGTTTTTTGCCCATTGAAAAAAGTTCACAGACGTAAATGAACAGGTTTCCTTGAATATGTACTTAGTTTGTTTTGTGTAAGTCAGAAGGGAAACAGTCAGTTTGATTAATGTATGCTTTGTTTCTTTTTTAAACAGATGGCAGTAGCTGTAAAAACTTTAAAAATAGGATCTACAACAGAGGAAAAATTAGATTTCCTGAGTGAAGCGGAATTGATGAAAAGATTTAATCATCCCAACATCGTAAAGCTGTTAGGAGTGTGCACCAAAAATGAACCGATATACAACGTTATGGAGTTTATGCTATATGGTATACTTACACTATCAAATTATCTTGTTAGATTTACATGTATCAGTTGTGGAAACCAAAATCGTAAAATGTCTTCTGATAGCAATATTTCAAGATTTTAGCTCGTACTTGATCTTTTTTAAAGGGAATTGTCAGAAAATATCCTTGAAAAGGTAAAGAAAATTGAGACGAATTTGTGCCATAATGGTGATCCTTAAAACCTTTTCGTTTGTCCCTGGAAAAAATGACTCATGAAAGTGTGAGAAGAATTTTGACAACCTTGCAATCTGACACATGATTTTTTTCTAGTTTCACCATCTATGATTGTGTATGTGTATGAATTGTCTCTTGTTTGATTGAAGGCTTTTGAAGATTAGATAATTAACTTCAGATCAAGACATTGAATACCATTGCTGCCTTTTATTAAAGGGATGTATTATCTCATAGCAATGGTTCACTATGGTTTTGAAATTTCTGAAAGCTTCATTGCATATTGATTTGGAGAGTCCGTGAAGAAGTTGCAACAACAGTTTTTTATCGCTCAGGGTTATTTCCTTGGTGGCTGAACTTCATCGAAAACACATGCATGTTTGTCATGAAATTAAAATGAGTGCATACAAATGAATGTTTTTCTAGACGAGTTTCGTGGCTAAGGTAATGGCTATGTATATTAGAAGTTTAAGAGCTTAAGTAATTTAAAGCCAGGATTTTGAAAAATTGTGTGATTACAATTCTGGCATCCTATTGTTGCTCTAGAATGAAGTAGTATTGCTGAAATAAAAATAAGATCAATCATGTAATGACGCTGAAAAAAGAAATAAGGTGGATAAGTGATTACACCAATTAGATGCAAGTATTCAAAAGTGAAAAAAGAAAGTTAAAATAATTTAAAACAGATGATTGTCCCAATGTTATAAAAGCTTGTGTCTTGGTATATTCTATTTCTTGGTCTATTTCTTCTAATCTATTTCCTATTTACTTTGCAAAACTTTACTTTTGAAAAATGATCAAACAATTATGCTCTGATAACAGGTGACTTGAAAACATACTTACTCGCTCGCAGACATATAGTGAATGAGCAAAGTAAAAACGGAGAAGAATCTGATGAAGTGTCAAGTAAAAGGCTGACTCAAATGGCTTTGGATATAGCTCGAGCTCTCTCATACCTAGCTGAAAACAAATATGTTCACAGGTTTGTCCTTAATATTTTTCTAAAAGTGTATCTATTTTTAGTTTTACAACTTTCATTACTTTCATCGTATGAAATTCGGATTGCAAAGTCCTGGGGGATGATTATCTTTGAGAAGAGCGTTTTGATGGTGAAAATCAAAACCTGCATCTCAGTTTCGGACTTTGCAAATCTCCTGTCTCATTTTACTTCACTGAAGAAGGCTGAATCATAGTTTTTGCATCAAATTTTGTCTGATTTTTCTTCCCTCTTTCAAAAGTATTCTCTGAAATTTTGCAGAAAAATACTGAGCAATATTCTCTCGAAAAAATAAATTATGAACGGAAGTTTCTGGTCACAGCTAACAAAATGTGTGGTTTAGTAATTTTGTCATCAATTTTTTAAAATTATATTTGTAGCTGGATGTAAAATCGGCAATGAAATGCCATCCAGGGCAATTAGTGTTTTTCTCATGATATCTCAGTTGAGATCAATTCAGCTAATTCATAAAGTGATCTCATAGGAGAACAGGTTGAGCAGGAAATGATTTTCCTTTTTTGGCAAAGAACTACATATTAGAAAAGATGGTGTCACATTGAAGATAGGCAAAACACATACATTATTCTAATTTTAATTTTTGCTGTTTTTTTAATGAAAATTTTTTAAGGTATTTGAATATCTACTCGTTGATTTCCATTTTATAAAATTTTCATAGCATTATTTATGTATCAATAAAGTTATAAAATGGTCAAGATGAACATAGATTTGAATTGAATTTTTCACATCTCATAGTTCTGCGAAGCACACAAATTTACGAGACTCAATGAAAAATATATTTATGAACTTATTAGTTCCTATTAACCAGTATGAAAGTACACTTCATGTCTCTTTTTATTTTCAGAGATGTAGCATCCAGAAACTGTTTGATAAATGCACAGAGAACCACAAAACTAGGAGATTTTGGGATGACTCGGCCAACTTTTGAAAACGATTATTATAAATTTAATAGAAAAGGTAATTATAATTTTAATCCATTCTTTTTTTGATCAATCATAATTTGCAGTTTAAAACGGAAGAATTGCAAAAGTCGTAGTGGAAACCACATTTAAAGGTGCAAGAAAGAATATTTTAAGGTGTCAAATTGTACATTCAATTTATTATATACCCTCTTCCAGTAGGAATTTCAAAAGTACCTAAATTTCAGCTTTGCAAAAGACATAAAAAACTGCTTTATGATTTCTAGAAGCGTCAATTTGGCTTGAATTTTGGGAGGCTCGTGTGGAATATGTTTACTACATTCTAATAATATAAAAGAATTTAAGAAACACTTCGTCACCACTCAAAAAATCAGCACCTCTGATACTGCGTTCTGAGAGACTGTAATAGGTATTATTCATGTTTCTGAGCACATGTAATATGTACTTGCATTTTCTCTTCAATTTTCTATTTTGAACTTTACTGAAAGAGCAATAGCATCCAAACGTTTCTAACTCTAGCCAAACTTGGTGCGTCTTAAATTTTTAACCAGACATGACGCTTGTGATTTGCACTTTCCTTGACTTTAATAGCTTTAAGGAGCATTCAATGATTTCATCTAATAAGAAACTGTAGTTTTTGTGTGTAAAAGTGTCTGAGGTATTGGAAACTATCAACACATCAATTATAATAAAAATGGAGCCTGTATATTTTTCATTGAGAGAGACAAATTGAACTTCAGTGATAAAAATACAGCAGTTTAGGTCCTGCAGCGCTATGCAATACTCCTGTTTCACCCATGACCACCTTATCATGTTTTACATTTCATGGCCAGGCTACTAATTTTATTTTCATCTTTCATTCTTCAGGGATGCTACCAGTTCGATGGATGGCACCAGAAAGTTTAGTCTTGGGTATATTTACTCCAGAATCAGATGTTTGGTCTTTTGGTGTCTTACTCTACGAAATTTTAACATTCGGCAACTTCCCTTTCCAAGGCATGACAAATAATCAAGTTTTGGAGCATGTCAAAGCAGGCAATACTCTAGTTATTCCGGCACAAGTCAAGCCTGAAGTGTAAGTATTAGACCTCATTAGAAATTAATCTTTTCTTTCTTTGAAACCAGAATATCCTAACATTTCCGTGTTCAGTTCTGGCTATCTGATAAGAGTATCTATCTTTGCATTTCATCATCTATATTTCTTGATTATACCCTTATTTTCATATTTATTTCTGGATGTCGAGAATCTTAGTCTATACAAAGAAATAAACGCCAAAAACAGCTAAAACCTCTCACGTAAAAGCAAAAAATACCTAATTGAACTCAAGCGTCGAGTCTGCACATTCTAAAAACTTGGCAAAATAGGAAGCCAAGTATCACCCCAGTTCACGATATCATATTTTATCTGTGTATTTTTATTTGGAAGTAAATTAGAAACAAATTTTTTAGTGGTTATTTTTTTTGGAATGTTTCAGGAAAGAGTTGTTAAAGTCCTGTTGGAACATCGAATCTAAAAAGAGACCCAGTGCCTCTACTTTGATGGAAACGTTGATTAACAACCCCAGACTTTTGAGTCCATGTCTAGACACTCCCATCTCATCTGTGCAGATAGAGCATCCGCAACATCCAGACTTTGATGTCAAATTAACAGAAAAACCAAGGAAACGCTCTGTAGTGTGTAAGCCAATGCTGAAACGAGGTTTTTCACAACCAAACGCTCCTGTGTGGCCCATCACTCAAGAGGTAGACGATTTAATCGGTTCAAATTCATGGATGAATGATTCACGCATGAATAATTCTACTAGGCTCTGGACAAGCGGTAGTTTGAATCAAGATATTAACGCTGGTGCCTCTGATCCTTTGTTATTTGATGATAGTGGGCCAGCCAAGTACATTGAGATGTCAAGAAAGTCTAATGGCAATTTAGAATTCAGTAACTATGATATGAAAAATGAACATGACTCTATTTTATAGTGTTCCCTGAAGTCTGAATTGGGTTTCGAATACTAAATAATTTCTCTCTTCTTTTCCTTTTAAATTTTATAGTATCTCTAGAGTTCTCGATGCATTTCCTGTAATGGTGGCCGACCATGAGTAATTTTAAAGATGAAACAATTCGGCCATAAGTTGTCTTGGCTCTATTTGTTCTTGAGATTCATAATGATTATTTATGTCAAACGGCATCTCTTTATCGTATATTTTATGTAAATATAGAAAAAGGAATAATATTTATTAGGAAGATTATTTTATGTAGGCAGATGCTTCAATATCCATGGCTAGGAAGAGAAAAAAAAAATATGTATGAAGCCATGTATGCCTGTATATCTCAAGTGATTTTTATCAAGTTTTCTGCTTTGAAATTTTTAGAACTTTTAATAACTTTTACATTTTCTAGAAATGTATGATCTAATAAGGATCTGTGTTGTTTATTATGGTTTGAATGGTCTGAAGAAAATTAACTAACAGTATGCTGTAATTTATTCCTGTTAGCTCACTGAGATTATCGTTAGAACATTAATTTCGTCCAAAATGCTGGAAGGTTTTGGGAATTACAATTCTGAGTCTAGTCATCTAATCAAAGCCAACTTTTTCATGTAATACGTGTTTACCTAAAATTTTTAGTCATGTACCGGTGCAAGTCAATACTGAAATGAAGACTTGTCAAGTTATGTGGAAGGTAAAATATTTTAATTGGAAAATTGTACTAGTTCTTTTCAGCATGCTCTCTTCATAGAAGTATAGTTGACCCCACAGGTATTAAGGCTTATTTATAGTCCCTTTTAGTTTGCAGTGTTTGATGCAAAAGGAAAAAATTCCGATTCACAAATCTAATGCAGAGCAAAATATGCTTCTTGAATCAGGTTTTGAACATTTCAAATTTTAAAGAATTTTATTTCTTGTGTTAAAATTACTCTCAACTCGTTAATCACCAAGAAAATCATAGGGATTGTTTGTTGGTTGCTTGGGGCCAAAACAGTCATAATGTCTTAGAACGTATGTTGGAGCGGTCCTGCCAGGCTAGAAATTAAATGCTTTTGAGGCTTTTAATTTCTTTAGGTTTTTTGTCGTTTATATTTTTTCTGGTTTACTTGAATCTAATAGGCATCCTAATACTTATGTATTAAGCCTTAATCATTTAAAATATACAACTGAAGAATAGCATTCATATGTAGTTAAAGTTAGAAGGATTTAGATCTAAACTAGATGACTTTTTAATCTGAAATATTTGGGTTTTTATCTGTAATTTTCTTTCCTATTTATTCTTTTGCTGATGGATTTTTTTATTCCTGTCTGTAGACACAAACCAATTCAGGCTTCAGTGTACATTTTAAACCCACAGTTGTCAATCCAAGTCAAATTTTTTAACATTATTGTCTGCATTTATGTACCTAAGTCTCACTGTCTCTCAAAATTTTTTTGGCTGAGTAAAGACTGACTAAAACTATTATTTCATTTTTTAAAGTTTAAAATTACACATGTATTAGGATCATATTTCTAACAGGTTTATTGGCTCTTGTTAAAGGCTGGTGTCTTTATTCACTTGTAAAACTAAAATAGTCATTGTCTCGGTACATAGCAATGTACTTAGACACAAACTTCAAAAATATCCAACAAATTTCTTATCACTACAGTAAAAACCATATTTCAGAAAAATTCTTCCTCTCAAGAGATAAACTCTACCTGTGTAGAGTTTATTTGCGATCCTTGCATAATTATTTCTATTCATTTGTGTGAATACTTTAAAGTAAGTTTTTCATCTAGTATTTACCTATTTTTCAAATTACAAGGGTCATATGAAAAGTGTGGTTCCCTATTTTATATTTTTTGAACAGAAAGATGTGAATCAAACTTGTAGCAAAAATTATGTCAGGCATATTTTCAGCTTAAGAAAAAAAAAAAAAAAAAAAAAAAAAAAAAAAAAAAAAAAAAAAACCCTCATTTTTTTATCATGTGGTTTGCAAAATTCACATACATTGGAATATCTTCTCATCATTGTGTGCCCACCCTTTAGTGAACTTGAAATGGACCGCGTTAAACAGAACGGAACCAAGCCACATCAGCTATTGCCAAATTTAATTGGGCAATTTAATTTTTTACATGAAAACGGTTGTGTGGATTTTCGTGCAAATTTTAGTGAAAATTCTTCGTGGTGCGAAGCAAATTCCTTAAAATTTTCAAAGAAATCTGAACAACCGTTCTCTCGTAAAACAATTAATTGCCCAGTTAAACTTGGCAATCGCTGATGTGGCTTGGTTCCTTTCTGTTAAACTCGGTCCAAATGTAATTATTTATAGCACCAAAGTTTCCACTTTTTCCTCACAAGTGAAGAGAAAAAGTGTTCAATATATTTTGATCCTCATAATCTTAGCTTCACTCTTGCCTGCAATTTGCTATTACACTAAAAGGTAGGCACGCAAGAATGGGAGGTTGTCTCAGTACAATTTTGTTTTCCAGCAAACCCCTTTAACCAATGTCCAAAAAGTTGAGCTTTCCTTAAAGCTGCCGATACGCTTGGCATGATACTTCCTCCTAGTTTGATTCATCTCTTCCTGTTTGGAAAATACAAAACAGGGAATACTACGTTTCCCATGACCTTTGTATATTGAGACTTATGAATCACATACTAAGTGCCCTTCTTAGTGCCTACGATCAAGAAATTTAATGCATCAAGACAATCAGGGAAGAATGAAAATTTAGTTTCACATAGTTTTGAATTTTACAATTAAATGGTTTCAATTTTATTTCATGTGTTAGAATAATTTAACTATCTTAGTTAACTGTGCCATCTGTGATATCAAGTAATTGTACAAAAGTTTATTCCCGTGTTATACCTTTTAAGTTAGTTTAATGCCCATACAAATATTTCTCCTTTGAATTCATTCTGTTTCCATGAATTTTAGAGAGACCTTTATTTTAATTGTTAGCTGTTTGATTTAACTCACAATAACTTTTTTTTTCATACTGGAATATTTTCTCAGTATTAAGAGAGGCAGAAGATGCCTTCCTTGTTATCTGTGCTTCCATGAATCTACAGCGATCATTGTTTCTGACTGAAAATACTGTAGTGCTTTAAATTAATGATGTATGTAGTTGTATGTTCTCAGTTCTCATTACCATCATTGTTATTCAAATAGGTGTAATTTTGTTTTTGTTTACGTTTTCTCATTTTTGTTCGAGCCACTATAATTTTTTGCAATCCAATTTTGTAATTTGTCGCTATTGATTCATCATATTTCACCGGTAAGTACAAAATTTTAGGCTATCTTCTTGCTGTAAAATATCTGTGGTTTAGAGTCACAGAATCGTAATTAACATTTTTGGATACATTAAATTATTAGCATTCTTGAAACATATACTAGAGGTTCTATTCCATAGAGAGTTCCAAAAATGTTGAGTCGTACGTTCGAAGCAACATAGCTGTCAAGTGGCTCTTCCTTAATTTCTTTAGTCAATGAAACTTTAATTGCAATTTTGTGACCCTTGACTACAGGTATATTCCCATAAAAAATGCTATTACTTTTCATAACTACATAGGAGCAGAACTATTATAAATCCTCAATTTCCTCAGACAAATTGAGAGAAGGGTGTCAATAACTAACCTGGGGAGATCACAAAGTGTCTCGCATAGATTTTGGTCCGAGTATGGCCGAAATTTTATTCATACAAAACCAGTGGACCTGTAATTTGAGCTTCGGAAGCTCCCAGTAAAAATTTTGAAAAATTGCCAAGAAAGTTCACTTGCTGAAGTTGGAAAATCATGGGTCTTACCCATCTATAATGTTAGGTAGAGTACTGCCTGTCAGCATGACCATTTTGAAATCGATTCTTGAAGTCTCTTCAAAATTTAATTTTATTTAATCTGTAATTGTCATATTTTTATTTTTTCTTGTTTTTTTTTTTTTTTTTTTTTTTTTTTTTTTTTCCTGTCTAAACCTGTGTACAACAATCTTGTTTTGCAGAGTTTTATGTAATAACCAACGATCACTTATGTATCATTTATGATTCAAGATCTTACAATTATGATTTCAATATAATGATAAAAGAATATTATAGACATATCCAGAAAAAATAAATAAGAATAGGCAAGACACAATGTGACCTCCTCTCATGAGCTAGTTTTATAACCTCTAGTCTAAATTTCCAGAAGTAATGCAAGTATTGCTCATGACAGGAATTGATTATTGTTCGACTAATTTTCAAATCAATTACAATGTATTAATATGTCGACTTTCAGATCTATAAATCATTACACCTTTGCCATGTTATACTTGCCCCAAATTTTAAATAATTGTTATGGGAAAAGAATATATACAAATTTAAGCTTGACATGTGTAAAAATTCAAAACTTTTTTCATTCTGTAATCGTGTAGTTTTAAGTATTTAGCCGCTATAATTCCCATTTCGACAATGAAATTGTAGAAACGCGTAGTTCGGTTTGTGATGTTGTAGAATTACAGCCATACATGCTTTTCTAAACAGAAAATTACTTGATGTCATTTCTTGTAAACTTTGGTGAATTTTTCTCTCTGTTTGAAGAATTTTCTGTGAAAATTTTGAGCCATTTGGTTGTTTTAATCTCTTTCAAACAAATATAATAGGAGCAAACATTTTGAAATACTTTGATTGAGGTACGCGTTTTTGCAGTTTAACCGTCAATTTGTGAGCTTACCTTTATTTAAATAGATAGATAGAGGTATAAAGAATTCTTTCAGCCCAATGCACCTCGGATGTCTAGCTGGGATTTAGCAAATTTCCTTATGTAAAGACTAAAAAAATTCTCATAAAAATCTGGGAACTTTTTCCAAAATGTTAAAAAACAATTTCTCTGAAATATCCTTCGGTTTTCTATTTTATAGAAAACTTCATTGTGTGTTTTTGTGTAAATACGTACATAAAATCTACTGTCATTTAAATGCTAGTCAAGCTCACTTGAATGAAGGCTTAATTTTTAAATTGACAAAAAACTGTTCACAGGATACCTGTATAATTTCTTCTCCCTCAACAGTTGATTGTTAATTCACCAAGGCATCTGTATTTAATGTATTTTGTTTTTATCCTGACCTTTTACTCTTTTATTATTGTCTTTCTCTTTACCAATCTTGCCAATTTTAACTCTCTTTCACTTGAATCATTGAACATCGTTCCACTCAGGAACATGAAAGTCCCTTTCACTTGTTTTTAGTCCTTCGTTTTCATTTTTTGTTTTTGTCCCAAAATTTTTTTTTACCTCAGATTGAAGTATTTCACCTGTATTTTTTGTATATTCTGTGTACCTAATTTAGGAAGTGAATCAGTTTGGAAGCGTTTCTTAGTGGTTGCAGGTTTAGGATGGATGGTTACAAGAGCATTTCAATGCCAACGTCCATACCTACCTGTTCTCTCTGCTGATGTGAAGGTACAAAGGTAGAGGCATCGGTATTTCATGTATATAGCAATGATCCTTGCTGTTGCTGTATTCAAGAATAATAATTTAGTTATCAATCATTATGTGACCTTTTAAAAATATTTCTGTGATATAGTTTTAAATGAATATTTGTTTTTTAAGAAATAAAAATAAGTTCTACATGACATTTTACTGTCCTTCTCTTTCATTTCATCTCTATGAAAGTAAATTCTCATTATTTTACTGGCAATATTTACAAATGTATCTCCATTGCAGTGTTTTGAAATCTCAAATTATGCTTTATTTTTCAAAGAGAAACGGATCAAAATTTCTCCTTGAAATTCACTGGGAATAAATAAGTGAAGAAAATTCACTTAACACTCAAAGAAAAACAATTAATTAGTTTTCTCTGTAAAAAGTAAAGTGTATGCAAAAATTTACAATGCCGCAATCGGAGGTACGCATTTTTTTTTACCTTAGCCACGGATATGCAATGTATTAAAAAAATCACCTAAGCATTGATGGCTCAAGTCCTAATTGTTGGTAACGTTTAAAAATCTCCGACTACTAAGAGAAATTCCAAGAGTTAAAATGAGCTTCTACTCGAAATGTTGAACATAAAACAACGCAGCTGCATCGCGGCTGAGACAAAAACGCAATGCAGAAGATGATCGTAAATCTTGGATACCACTTAACGTGCTTCTAGTATGTCCTTGTTGCATACACACGAAATGAAGGCGATCCGCGCGCGGCGAGATGTGCTTCAATGCTTCAAATGAAGGGATGTAAAATAAAAGAGCAAGACTGGCTGCATTTATTCTGCTGTTTGTTCCATATTTCATGTTTCTTGAAGTACAACAGCATATCTATTATTAGGCGTATTTCGCTTATAAAGATAGAAAGATTTAAAAAGCGAAAGATTTTCGCTTCGCTGGTAAGATCTGCCAAAGCGCCTTCGATTTTTTGCTTATGCAACTGAGGCATCGAAGGAGCAGCGATAGTTTAATCAAACGTTACTTCATAGATCATTTCCGCGTTTGACGGGAGAGATTATTGACCTCTGAAATAAACAATTTACTTTTATATTCTATGTTTATGCGTGCAAATGCAATTTTATCAAAAACATTTTCCCAGTAAATTGGGACTAGAGACCGCATCAAAAAATTATCAGACGGCGCGGCGCGGCGCACAGTGGATCGAGTCAATTGGAGAGCTCGGACATAAAATTTTTGACCAAAACTGCAAATTTTGCTGTTAATTCCGTCACATCTTAAAGTTTAAGGGGTGCTTCGAGAGGAAAATTTTACGAGGAAACAAATGGAACCACGTTTACAACCTCACAGTTTTGTATAAACGGAGTTATAAGCGTTGAAAGTTTATAGATGTTGTCCGACCTCTCCTATTGACTCGATTCACCGTGCGGCATGACAGACTTACTAAATTTTTAAAAAAAATCTCCTTTCGACCTGCGTGTTTTTTGGTTGGGGGGGGGGGGGGGGGGCTCGAGGACAAGAAAGAGTCAAGAAAGTAAAAAGAAGAAGAAAAAATGATTGACACTCTCTAGATATGGTCTTGGCAGTTTTTAGTCCGGAAAATTTTCGAAAAATTCATTCAAATTTCAGAGTCGCTTCATTGCAATTTTATTCTCACGAAATATTTTTGAACTCCTTAATTAAACTGAGTATGTCATTGGTAGGTACCTACCTACCCTTCGGCTAGAATACATTTTTCAGGAGGAAATCGCCCAACCCGACCTCCTTTTTCTTTTTTTAAAATTTTTTATTAAGTTTTTCCAAAATTTCATTAAATTTTGCATCCGTATCCATGCAATATTATCGACCCTCTGCATGTGTTTAACTGTTTTGAAGTTATGCCGTGGACGCTCTGGAGGTAAGTTATTAGGTAACACGTGGGAAAATAACACGTAATAATTTATGAGAGTAATAAGTTGCGTTCGAAGCAGTTCTTGTCTTTCTCACGGAATAAAATGATGCCCTACATTTTTCTTATGAGTATGGTCTTTCTCGGATACGCTTGGATGTTTTGAAGCTCCGGTCGACATGGCGCGACCTTTTATGGCAACCAATCGGGGCCTTGCTTTGGATGAACTTGCAACTTGACAGCAGATCGCGTACTCGTCTAATGTACTTTCAGTGTGCATGCAGCTGTGTGTGTGTGAGTTGTCGGTGTCTTTACATTGTGCTTCATGTGTTTACACTGACGGAGTGACAAGTGACCCGTTTCACAAAGAAAGTGCCGTGATCTGTTATCATTATCACTGATAATTTCCTATAGTTGTGGTTATTTTGACCGAAAAATGCCGTAAGCAGACAACAAATCGTGTTTCTTGTGCTAAGTTCTTCTGTCGGATAAAAACTTCTACTCTGTGTACTTCAGATCGTTATGATCCAATCATGGGGGAAGCTCAGGAATTGTTGATACCCCCTGATTTTAATTTTTGGACTTTCATTCAAAACGTAAGTTCTCATCGATTTTGCTTACTATTCACTCTTTCTGAAAATTTTATGTGTCAATGAGTTTCGTGAGTTTAGGAAACCTAACCTAACATTTTCAAAGCCACTGTTGAAATTGCATCCGGGTGCATTATTTTCCTTTTACATTTTCCATTGCAGCTGATATGACACAATTATCATGACAATTTCCTAGCCCTGATGAACTAAACACAATTAGTAGCCATATGAAATGTTCTATTAGCTAAATATTAGATGCGCACACGATTATGAAACAGCGTAGACGCGGGATATTTTATATGCCATGGCTACAAACTACTGGGTAGTCATCAAATTTTCTACTCAATATCTTAGTGCATGGAGAATATTTTACTTTACTTTATGAACCAACAATATTGCGAAGATGCATGAAAAGTTAGATGCAAGGATCATTTCCATCCAGCACAGAGGTCTGAAATCGGCTCTCTGGTGTGACAGTGGTGCTGTACATAATTGCTGATGACCAATGTCACTTAAAAAAGGGTAAATGCCTGGCGTTACAAGTCAAGGAACTATTTAATGAAACGTCCTGTTAAATTAGTTCCTTGATGTTCCACGGTGAGGAAGAGACTGCCACTTCTTGGCATGCTGGTATTTGTTGGGTTAACAAATTGTTGAGAAAAGTTGCGATAACTGTTGAACATAGACTTTTTTCACACATGCTACCCTGCTCGAGTTTCAGCATGTCAAAATTGAAGCAGCTGATAATTTGTTATACACTCATTATAGATTATCATCAGTCAACCAGAAAGAGTAAATTTGTATTCGAAAAAAGGGTGAATCAATAGATGTGTTTATCCAAAGCTGGTGCGCAACCAACAGTTTTAATCTTTGATGATGCTGGTTAAGTTTGTAAGAAATTATACCCCCTGTTAACTCTTCTCTTGAATTAAGTAGAGGTGTCGTCAGATAAGTTGGTCATTGTTTACTTTCGGCTTGCAGGTGTTTTTGCGAGACTACTATCCACATGAAAACATCTAATTCTCACAGAAGCGAGAACACAAGCTTGGATACATTGTTTCATACCTTCAAACCTTATAATACTTCAATTTTTAGCCACGCAGAAATCACAACCGCATAAAAGTTGCGGGTCATAATTGATAAATAAGTTTTTTATGATATGATCATGAGTCGGATGTTTTTTTAAAGGTGAATAGTAGTGAGCGCCGCTTTTTACAGAGGCATAAATTCGTTGTCGGCGCTTGCAAACTGAAAGTAAACAATGGCCAACTTATCTGATGACACCTCTATCCATTGAATCATCAGTAGAAAGTGACTTATTTTGAAGAATCCTTCAAATGATTTATCCAAGAAATTAGTCCATTGTAGGTATAGGTATCAAGAGTATATCCACTGAGTAAGTCTGCAACCGTGTATCTCGTTTGCGGTGTTTGAAAATCTCCGCTCCTATATTATTTTTCAAAGGAGATCAAATCTAAGTACATCATTCTTTGAAGTTCTCGCAGAATTTTCTTGACTTTGAGAAGAATAATCACGGCCGTTGAGCAGTTTTTCATTTAAAAAAGTAAGTATGACAGGACATCTGCAACGTCGCTAACTGAGGAACGTCATTGCCGACTTACACTGTCGATATGCCACAATACTGCGGTGAAAATTGCTTGATTTTTTTAAGTTTTCACCAAGCTACTAGAAAATTTGCGCACTTACCTACTTTCTCCAATATTGAGTTGAAAAACGCATAATTTTCATGTTTTTACAAAACCACCGAAAATACGTGATTTCCACGCGTTTGGGTGAAAAATGCCTTACATAATATTTTGTCACAAAATCGCTGGAAAAACCGCTGAGCTATAAATAGCGCACAATTCTTTACAAAACCTCTGGATCAGGGTGGCAAAATTTATGAAAAATAAAATCTTGAAATTTCACGTGAGATATTCATATTTCATGGAATTTCAGAACTTTATGTAATATATTGAAAAATACTGGTTCCTTTTCATACTTACAGCCTCGAGAAATTTCATTAAAATTTCCAATCTTTCATTTATTTCCTAAACGTTTTATGCCACCCTGATCTGGATGGATCGCATATTTTTTAACACTTATATTCACGCAAATTCGCATACAAATGTTTTAAGAATTAACATTGGTTAAATTGAACACTGAGCGTGCAACTATTCTAATTACGGAGTAGTCATTTGGTATCACGCGAAAATGAAGGAAAATCTTTGCTTTTCGCCCATCTCAAATTATCGACGTTTATTATTCTCTCATCGTCAAATGTGGAAATCAAGCGCGCAACTATTCGAACTCCGGAGTAGGTATGTCGTATCACGCGGAAATGAGGGAAAATCTTTGCTTTTCGCCCGTCTCAAATTACCGACGTTTATGAATGTATGTATTATGCTCTCATCTTCAAATGTGAAAATCAAGCGCGCAACTGTTCGAACTCCGGAGTAGGTATGTGGTATCTCGCGAAAATGTAGGCAACTCTTGGCTTTTCGCCGTCTCAAATTACCGACGTTTATGAATGCTGCGGTATTCATGTGAAAAATCATAATATCATTAAGTTTTCCCCCTAGTAGTCAAAGGTAAAATTCTACGATTTTAAACCACTTGCTCGATTAATAACACTATTTGGATGATTATTGAAGACTAGAGGGCTATGTGCGTCTCCTGATTGCCTCTCGATCCCTTTTGCCGAAGCGCTTCGCACTTCAGAACTCAAGCGTTATGCGTTACGCGCTCATTTAAGAGTAAATTTTTACTAAGGATAGAGATTTCATTAAAAAAAATTCTCCACTCGATTATCATTGGGTACATTTTCTCAATAGTTGGACTTATTTTTTTTCTCTTCGGTATGTAACATTGTGGTCGCTTTCTGAAATATCCTCATAAGAGGGGAAGGGTGTTCGGTAACGAGTGAAGCTCATTGAATGTCAAAATTAAATAAGATTCATAACTGGACTGCATTTTGCAATTTGGAGCTATAAATTCTGGCCCGGTTTAAAAACAACGTATGTGCCATTAGTTTCCCTACGCATGTAGGTGTTTTTGCAGAAGAGCCAGAATTGTGCAAAATGTAGTCCAACTGTCATGTTCATACTGCGTGAGTGCGTGAGAACCAATGAGCTGGATTGGTATCGGTATCCCAAATATTAACACTCAGTCCGTCGTTCTCCGCACGAAGGAACGTAACCCCATTCCAATGTTGCAAAATTGACTCAAACAGTTCAACTTTTAAGTAGAAGAAACCTGTATGATTTTCATCGAAAATTAGTCTGATTTTTGAATGAGATCAGAAGAAAAATTAGTGAAATTTTCAGTCAGAAATCCTTTACATTCTCCCGGTTAAAATGCAATTTGTGCGGAAAAATCCGGCAACATTGAAATGTCGTTACGCTCTTTCGTGAGAGAAACAACGAGTTGTGCTTCCGAACTCAAGCACCTTGAATAGAAGGATGAACGAGTTCGTAGCTTCATAGTTTTGAATTTTGTTTCTTGAGTCTCTGCGGTCTTCTCGACGAAGCGGTGTATCTAGTCAAGACATAAATGGCCGAATCCACTGGTCATACAAAAGCAGCGCGTGCACTTACATGTTACATTATTGAACAGGTATTTCCGGATATTAGCTCCCGAAGTCCCGATCAGTAACTGTCCACTATATGCAAATTTTCAACTCAAAATGCATGTCACGGAGCTAGTCGTCAGCCAACCGCACGTACCTATACGTTTCTCGAGAAGGCATGTTTTTCATACGTGAAGTATTTCACCGGGAATATCTATTAACGATCCCGGAGTTACACTGTACCCACTCGGTCATGCGTTCAAAAGGATAAGTTTTTGATGACTGTTACCATCTTTGTAAAGTAAATTTGTGTTTTCGAAGCAAAAAGGGGTCAATATGTCTTGCTTTAAGTTTCAGAGAGCATCCATTTCTGTCGTCAAAAAGGGCCAATGAGAAGATAATCGAGCTAGACTGTCAGTGAAGTTTGTAATTTGTCCCTAAATCATTCTCACTAGGTATACTTATCTTTAAAATGATAGTGAATAATCAGTGCCTTATCTGCGAATTTTGCAAGAAACTGTCAAATTATACACCATAATATAAAATCAAGTGAGTGACGCATAGCGTTTCAGGCGCGAAGCGCTTTTGGGGGTTGGAAAATGAAGCGGTAATGGGGCTTAGCTCCCTAGTATCCTACATTTGATATCTACGTTTGTATTAAGCTTAATCCTGGAAACGACGTGAATATGCTTAAATAAAATTTGCTGCTAAGTAAGATTTTTTTTTTTTTAAAAAAAAAAAAAAAAAACTTGAAAATGCTAGGAATTAATAACACAGACTACGGACTTCTCTGCAGCTTTTCGCGTATCCTCTATAATGACGGTGAAGCTGATAAAACACATTTCGTTTCCGGCATGTCCAAATCTTTGCTCCAGTTTATTTTATTTTAATTTTTTAAAGAGAATGAATCAACATCATGTTTCAAAATTGTCACAGAATATTCTCCACGCAGAGAAATCAACCACAGAAATTTTGAAGATACTACATCAAGTAGTTTTCCATTTCAAAGCCCAGGTAAAAATTGGCGATACTTAGGAGCTGCGTTTCAAAATACCATAGGAGTTCTTGAAGCCGACTGAAGAAGGCGATAGAAAATCATATAGCTGGCTGTAGAAAGTGGAAAAAATCGTACGGCCGGGTTAGGTACACGAAGCGATAAAAATTAAACAGCCGGGCTATAGTTCCTGTCGCCGGGCTTTACACTTTATCGCCTGGCTGTTGCTTTTTCGCCATCGGCTATAAAAGGCTGTAAGAATTTATGTAAAAATTCGTGTGCTTTGTAAATCCTTAAAATTGCACGGAATCACCATAATATTTACAAAACGCACATTATATTTTCCTATACTACATATTTGTTTTCATCAATTAAAATGAGAATAATCCATACAGAGTGTGCAAACATTTCAAAGTCATGAGTTGAACAACGCTGACTCCACGA